GTAGATTTCAGCTTTTTCTTCAAAAATTGTTAAGCATGTTAATGTAGAGAAACTCTGCTAACTCTGCGCACGTGTTGCATGATTTTTTCCTTCTTTACGGTTTTCAAACTTAAGCATAAGAACAAAGTTTATATATATATATACATGTATATATTTTTTATATCCTTTCTCCCTTTTTTTGATATGCAATTTTCTATGAAAATGTGGTATATTTAATATCAGAAAATCAAAATAATATATTATATTATTATTATATTATTCTCGTCAAACAATATAATAATTAAAAAATTTATTTCTTTAGAATTACATATTTCTTTTACATGTCACATAAAATTATAAAATCTGCAATATAAAAACAATGTCCAAGAAATTGTTCTTCGATTTGCCGATAATTTCTTATTTTAAAATAGTATCCTAAAAAATCTGGCTTTACTAACTCATATATTAATGCGTCACATGCACATATCTATATACTAAAATTACTCAATCACTGCTATACACACATGTGACTATGTTACTGCTAATAATACAATAAAATAACCTTCCTTCCTTCCGTTTTATTTGACTTTTAATTTACTGATGGCAAAAGCCGACATATTCTTATAGGAAAATTTAGAGAAACTATATCAAAGAGAGAGAGAGAGAGAGAGAAAAATAAGAAAATATTTTAGAAAAGTAAAGTATATGTCAAATTATCCTCCAAACTTTTCACGTTGAACGCGCATTGACAAGTTGCAAATTCGTTTTGCTACATCAAAAAGAAACATTCTTTCTATTTGTTTAAACCTCGTATTAAAAGTTTTCTGCGTGATAATATCCACAGTATACGTCAGTGATGTAACTTAAGAACTCCGGTAGCAAAGAACGCGTGAACGCTAAATTGATAGTAAGACATTCTACGACTTTACTAAAGCTCCTTTAACGATCGCCTAAACATTTTCTACATTTTAATTAATTCATAAATACGCACTGCAGGAATGCAGTAAATCGTTGCGATACTCATCGAGTTTTGTCCCGGCTCCTCTGGTGACGATTATCGACTGATAGTTGAATCAAATTCGCCGTTTTGTTGACTGATCGAATTTTCATACGCGTCAACTATTCTCTTAAGCATAGCATAGATCATGTCGGGAGAAAATAAACACAATCCATACGCATAAAATTCCGCACGATTACTCCCGAAATCAGGCCGCATTCCACGTGGCATTCCACGTGGCTCCGCGAGTTTGTTGACGGATCAGCGACGGTGAAACGCCGACCTCTCGATCGAAGTCACAACATTAATTTGTTCCATTTATCTTTGCATAAAAACGCGAAAAATAAGTCTAGTTGAAAATTTAGGTGATTAGCGAGTTTTTTTGTTTGGAAAAAGGTATTGTTTTCCGATCAATTTGAAGAGAAAAATTCGGGAAATTTTGCTGCTTGGGTTTATTGCTTCATGTCAATCGACAAACTTCAGCGTTTCACCGTCGCCACTAAATTTACATTGGTTTTGTCGACTCACATTTCATGCGTTGCGGTGCGTGCTGTTTCCTTCGGGGCATCTGCGTCCTTCGAAAATGTTCGATTATCCGTGCGGCCTCCAGTTCTTTTCGCCTTGACTGCAATTAGTTGGTCCCCAAAAAGTCAAACGGTCGAAAACACCGAACAGTATCCTTGAGATATCTTCCCCCAAGACAACTGTCTTGGATAGTCTACCTCTCTTTTTCCGTTACAACACTTGCGGTTATCCAATCGGCACGTGTCCCGACAACCACTACCTCATCGTGCTCGCCAACAACCCGCTTGTTATCAGTGACGCAATTGTCGCAATCATTTCATTTGGAATTCACGGCACCTATGCATTTATGGAACTGATGGCAAAGTGAAATAATAACACATTCGTCAAATCTCTGAGAGTACGGCTGAGAACGCAAAGTTGTACAGGATCTATCTCATTTATCCATTCGTATTCGTATAATTTCAAAATAATCGAAACTAACGATTCGCGTCGACGTATTGGCGGGTGAATATTAATACTTTCGTATTATTGTCTACATCCTTTGCCGATATTATTTCACTGAATTCGAATAGACAATTCTCGATCTCGGTGATACTGAACCGATTTACACCGAAACCATCTGCAAGACTATCCGTATCGTGCACCAACCCCCGGTTCACCACTTTTCCCTGCAAAGTAATCATTAGTCTCACTCTCGTCACTTTCCCGATCGGCCGTCGTTCACACCGATACGCGATACTCGTCTTCGATGACGGCTATCGGAATCGCGCCAACTATCTCGTGGATGGATCGGCGGATCCCGATGATATCGCGCGATAAACTTTTCTCCACGACGTATAATTCGCGACGCGCGCACGATGTTTCGCGACATATGTGAATATCAAAAGATCTTCAATGAAAAACGAAGAAAGAAAAACATAGTAAGAGTTGACCAAACAGATAACGATAAAACAAGCAAGAGAGAACGCCTGCCATAGATATGCAGCATGCAAACGAAAATGTGACAGCAAAAAATAGACAGATGAAAAAGAACGAAAGAAAGAAACGTGTTGGAAAGAAAGATAAAAAGATAGACAGAGAGAGAGAGAGAGAGAAAGAGAGAGAGGAGGAGAGGGGAGAGACAGAAAGATTGGAGATAGACGGAAAAGAAACGGAGAGGAGATGGAGGTAATGGCTACCGTCGTTCATGGATCGCGAAATCGAGCGGGCGGCGGTCCAGCGCTGACTGACTACGGACTGGCGTCGCGGCGGCAGGTCGTGTGGTGGGGGGACCCCAGGAGTAGTACTAGTCCCCTCCACCGACCGTTCTCGTTTCCTCGCTCGTCCGTTCTTCTTTGCTGGTCTCACTTGCGCTTGCTCGATCTCTCCTTCCCGCCACCCTCGTTCTTTCTCTCCTCCGCGGCCACGATCGCGTCCAAAGCGCGCGCGGTCCGCGAACGACGAGGCAGCGAGGCCACGAGGAGGTGGGGAAGGGAAGGGAAGGGTTCGCGAAGTGTACCGAGTGAATGAGCGAGATCGTAGGAGAGGAGGGACCGTGCACCTCCTTATTCTCTATCGTTCTCAGCTTACTCACACTCGCGCGTCGCAATGTGAGCCGACGCGATGCGACGCGACGACGCAACGCGACGCGATGTAACGCGACGCGATGTAACGCGACATGAGGGGTTCGCCGTCGCACCAGCGACGGCGCAAAGGCCAGCCACTCTCGTCTGCGAATGCACCAAATGCTGGTGGATGCGCTTCTCGCCGCAACGTGACCGCGACGTGGCACCCACGCGTTCCCCGTTGTGGCACTCTTCTCATTTTTTGCTTTCTTTTTTTTTTTTTTACAGGTTTTTAAATTTTTGAATAGAGCTGTGCAAAGTTTACTGAACGAAAAAGAAGCCGATTGGATCGAGAGGGCTCATCACAGATCTATGGGGACTATAGATGTATTCGCGCGCACTGGGGGAGGTCGGAAAAGGAGGCGGGGTCCTCAACTCTATCGGCCCGTGAGGGAGGTGCACGGGGAGATGTCGCTCTGGTTGTATAGTAGTGGTAGTTTTGATTGTTGCCGCGAGAGGCACTGCTGCACGACGAGCTACGGTACTACGGCGACGCGGAGCCACACCTAGGAATTTCTCGGGGTTTTCGCTAAGAGAATCGCGTCCAAGGCTATTGCTGGGCAAGGTGAGTACTGGATCAGTATTGTTTGTTAGCAAATTAAGATTGTAATTTGTAAGTAAGCTGAGAAATGGAGCTATCGAGCGTATTCTGAGTATTTCGATACTTAACCTCAAAAACGCATAGTAGCTATTCGAAGCTACAAAACTGATTGTATTGAAGTTGCTGAAAGCTCTTTCTTCGCTAGATTATATTTACGTACGTTTCGCAACATATCGCTCTCTTTCTCTCTTCTCTTTTCTTCCCCATCTTCTCCTTCTTTCTCTCTTTCTTGCTCACTCGTTTTCTCTCGTTCACACTCTCACTTTCTCTCTCTCTCTCTTTCTTATTGAGCATATTTAAATATTATTACACTAGAAAATATAACGTTAGCTTAACTGACATAAAAGTGTGGTGGGCTGTGCGTTAAGGGCACGCGCATACCATAAGAAACTAAATATCAGTTGAAAGAGAAAGATAGAGTGAACTATTTTCCATTGTATGCAAAACATTGGAAATTAAGTTAATGCCTGTTATTATATTGCCAATGGCATTAAAGTTTTTCTGAACGCTTTTTTTTCTTTTAGATTGATAAATATAATTTTAAGGGAAACAGTATTATATAATTTTGCCAAACTTTTATATTTATAATTTATCATTTAACAAATAATTTAAATATTATCATGTGACATATATAATAGATGTTACATCATCATCGACAAGTTATCATAAAGTTCATTACAACAAAATAATACAAAACTACTACTAATATGCAATCATTCTCAATGTCTTTTTATGAAAGATATCTTCTAATGAATGACTTTAAAAGAAGAATCTTCGTTATTTATTCTTCAACTATATCATTTTCTACTTTCTCATCGCTGGTTTTCTCAAACTCGTTTCTTCTTCTTCAATCTTTCTGAATCTCTCAGTTTTCTAAGAGATGTTTTCCCGAAAATATCATTTCCAAAGAACCCGACAATCATCCCGCGCTCTCTCAGCTCAACGAAGCTCGTTTTAGCGGGCACCGGTGGAGGCGCTGGCAACATTGGCAACTCTGCGGGATAAACTGTACCAACTGGCGGACACATCCCGCCCATCGGGCGGAGCCCGCATGATCTATAGCGTCATAGAACATCCCTGCCGCTGTGGTAGGAACAGAATGGCTACGCCCACGGTGCAGAACGTGCGCGCTGCACCCCCGCCGTTGCTGCCGCCACCGTTGTCGTCCTCGCGGCCACCACCGGGGGCCGAGGATGTTTATGCTCCTGCCGCCGCGTCTCTATCTAGTCGTGGCTCTGGTGCTGCGCTGTTTCTCTCCTGTAGTCGTTGTCGTCGTCGTCGAAGCCACTACTGTCGGCATACTCTCTCGATTTATCCTTGGCTCCTACCAATCGGCGCGCGTTCATTATCGCTAAACATTCCTGTCAATTAAAAGTGCACCAACGCCCAATTTACCGGCGGTCGTCTGTCGTTCTGGCGAGCTCGCCCCGCGGAAATATTAACGAGGGACTAGTCGCGAGTTTTTTGTCCGTTTTCTTTCTTCTTTTTGTTTTCTGGCGCGCTTCTCCTACTGGATTCCCCGGGTAGAAGGGCATAGCCGTACTTATGGGCTTTTCGTTAGCGCGCATGCAGATGTACCTTGGTTTACGATTATGGCACTGACTCTCATTTTCACGGAGAACGAAGCATTCCAAAGTAAGGCAGCATTCTACCGGCAATGCAATGCTGGTTTTTGTTGGATTATGCATTGGTACACGGCAATGAAGACGATAAATATCATATAAATACGTTTGCGTGGAAATTTACACGACATGAATTACTTTCATTTCATAATCATTATGAATTAATTTTATACATATATATATATGTATGTAAGTATGTATGTGTATATCTGTGTGTGGTATGTGTGCATGCGTGCGGGCATACGTGCGTGCGTGCATGTACCTAAAATCTTTTAAATATCTTTCATAATCTATATAGAGTTGTCTAAATTGGAATTAATTATGTATTATTATGTACATGTAAATTTTTTATATCAGATATTCTCCTTATTAAATGACGCAATTGTATTTTTTATAAGTTGAAAATGGAAGTAGTTTTTACAAATAATTAATAAGCGATTACTTATATATTAACATGAATCAATAATTTATAAGATTTATTGAATATTTTTTTATTTTTCATGTTTGACTATTAAGTGTTAAATAATGTAATTAGTTTTGTAATTAGTATTATATTATACGTGTAGTTTCTATACTTTAGAGGCAAAGTTAAACATAGTCTAAACAATAAAAAAAGATCTGTTTCGGTTTCGAAAATCTTTTTTCATTAAGCTTTATTTATATAATTTCAATTTATAATTTTGCAGCATGCGTTAGAAAGACAAATATTTTCTAGTAGTATGTGTAGTAGTTTTTGAGATTTTTGAAATTTTATGTTTATAAGTAAAAAGATGGCATCTCTGCGATCATCTGAAACTCAGCGCGAATAGGATATTACAAAGAGCACTTTATGTATTTCGGCGACGGTCGCATCGTTTTCACAGACAGGTTGAAGAGGTTGTACCGTTCCTGCGCGCATCAAGCCAATTCGACGCCAGCGATGTTCGTGATGCGACGTTTACGAGATCATTTATTAGGTGACGTTCTCATCGGGCAACTTGGCTGCAAACTGAATTTGCTAGCCTATTCCAGGGATCGTATCCCGATTAAAATTTATACTGTATTTAAATTAATTTATACTGTATTTAAAAACTTGACCAAATATCAATGAAGTCTGCGACACCCGAGACAAACAAAGAAGTATATATAATCACAGATAATAAATGTACAGAAACATAATTCGATCAAACGTAAAAAAAAAAATTTTGTTTGTTCACACAAACTCGCGAGAATTTTCCAAGTACGGCTCAACATGACCGGCGGATTGATTAATAGTTGAGCAAATCTGCACGTTATTATTAGCGCACGTATCATTAACATATAATTGAGCATATCTCGTGTTTGATTTTATGAAATTGATCAGATGTATGGAAAGAATTTATATTTTTTTAATTTAAATTATATATTTAAACTTGGTATATATAAATAACTTATATGTATAAAAATGTAAAAATTTTATATATATATATATATTTATACATGAATATATCTGTTCTTATATTGTATGTGTGTTACAATGTGAGATTCACTCACGATACGGTATTCGTATTTGGTTCAAAGTGGAGAAAGGCTAGATGGTGGCGACAACAATATTTACTTGTCGAAGAAAATACGTATTTCGCAGTCACACATTAGATTCATGAAGTAGTATGTGTAGTAGTTTTTGAGATTTTTGAAATTTTATGTTTATAAGTAAAAAGATGGCATCTCTGCGATCATCTGAAACTCAGCGCGAATAGGATATTACAAAGAGCACTTTATGTATTTCGGCGACGGTCGCATCGTTTTCACAGACAGGTTGAAGAGGTTGTACCGTTCCTGCGCGCATCAAGCCAATTCGACGCCAGCGATGTTCGTGATGCGACGTTTACGAGATCATTTATTAGGTGACGTTCTCATCGGGCAACTTGGCTGCAAACTGAATTTGCTAGCCTATTCCAGGGATCGTATCCCGATTAAAATTTATACTGTATTTAAATTAATTTATACTGTATTTAAAAACTTGACCAAATATCAATGAAGTCTGCGACACCCGAGACAAACAAAGAAGTATATATAATCACAGATAATAAATGTACAGAAACATAATTCGATCAAACGTAAAAAAAAAAATTTTGCTTGTTCACACAAACTCGCGAGAATTTTCCAAGTACGGCTCAACATGACCGGCGGATTGATTAATAGTTGAGCAAATCTGCACGTTATTATTAGCGCACGTATCATTAACATATAATTGAGCATATCTCGTGTTTGATTTTATGAAATTGATCAGATGTATGGAAAGAATTTATATTTTTTTAATTTAAATTATATATTTAAACTTGGTATATATAAATAACTTATATGTATAAAAATGTAAAAATTTTATATATATATATATATTTATACATGAATATATCTGTTCTTATATTGTATGTGTGTTACAATGTGAGATTCACTCACGATACGGTATTCGTATTTGGTTCAAAGTGGAGAAAGGCTAGATGGTGGCGACAACAATATTTACTTGTCGAAGAAAATACGTATTTCGCAGTCACACATTAGATTCATGAAGTAAATTTTTCAATATATTATTAACTTGTATATTGGACGGCTCTTATAACTTTGCGATAACTTTTCTCTGCGGAAGGTTCCGTTCAGGCTAATATTTCTTCCGACGTCTTACCGATGGCAAACTTTATCCAACCAGTGCAACTTGAAGCATTATACACGGTCACTACAGGTCAGAAAACGATATGGCCGTATTTTCTATAGAAAACAACTAATGTCCCGATTACATCTCTCGCTTGTCTTAAAATATTATTATTGCCTTGTTCAAAATGAGATTAGTTATTGATGTTAAAAATTTTACAGGTATAGAATCTCTAAGAATAAATAAATATGATTTTCGAGAAAAATAAACAAGAATGATGCCATTTTTATATTTTGTAACTTAATTGTCACAACTACATATATTTTATCCGATTTCTTTAAATAGACAGATATATAATTTTTTGATATAATATTTCTACTTAATATAACACACACATAATCGATAGAAAGATTTTATTTCTACGATTGCACAATATCGTTACTAATGATGCGCAACCGAGGAATGTTCTCACGCACGTGTAACGCATTAAACTGGTTTGAGATCAAGCGAATTAATAATTGCATAAAAAATAACTTTATAAAAAGTTGTGTATAAAAAAGTATTTAATAATTAAGGCCTCTTCACGCACATTCGTTGATGATTGTTTGTGCTCGTTTGCCTAATCTGAATTTGACTTTAAATTAAATGTGTCTGCGTCTTCTCCCGCTGACCGCGGGATTTCTTTTACGAGCGCTACCGACATCGGGGTGGATGCACCAGCAGGCACTAAA